TTTCATAAAATTTAAAATTATACTCTTACTGGCTCRTTCGATTACTTCCAGTAGCCTGAATTCCAGATTTGACCTACTCAGATGAGATTCCAAATTTACAATCGGTTCAGTTTTCACAGTTTTGTTTCAACGGTTTCACGACTTCTTATTATTTATTGGCAAATTTCTTGAGATGTAGTGCACCAATGATTTTTCAAAAACAATTTCRGGAGTATAACACGTAAATACGTACAACGTACTACAGTATGTATACCTGCTAACACCACTATACATGATTAGAACAGGTGGAGGCGGATGTGAGCCAACTTTTACGATGTTATCAACTACGGTGAAGACGGCATTTGTGAGTCCACACGGATATATATATATATATATATATATACTTTTATCACTCGAACGAAACCCACGTGAAGTTTTTGACTACCTCGAAGATCTTGCCAATGATAATATTGTACGGATTTCGGTAAACCCTGGTATTGTACCTGTGGATTTAACGTGGTCTTTGTCTTTCACAAACTGCTTTTAAACACCGACCACCGATACCGTCATCGATGTTTCGCATAATATTATATAATAGATGCAATCACGTTTTTATTTTATATTTTTCAAAGGTAACTGTTCTTAAAAGGTCAATATARTTATTTAGGATCGWCCGTAAAGCATAATATTTTATACTCGTTATGCGTAGATCCGGAGAAAAAAATCGCAAGGAAATATCAAGACAATCGTTACAACTTGATGTTTGTTTAGGATTAAAATCCCTATATACATAAATATGTTATTGAATGTATACCTAGTATTATAACTAATGCCTAATAAACATCAGATTTAGTTCCTTCTCCGGTCCTCGATACCATAGAAAAAAAAAAAACATCAGATAAATTATTGTTTGCTTTTTCTGTACTGAAATTTACTATAATATTATTTAAGAATAAAATTATGTAAATAATAATATATATTAAAATATAAAAATCCCTACRATAGAGACATRTTATTATATTAGTAGGTTAGATTAAGTTAGAATGGGTTATTAAATATATTGTTATTAGTAATATTACAYGTGATAKGTATATGCCATATAMRCWTTGAARACATTTTAATTTTTAACTCGTTGATTGAATCGATTATTGCTTTAAATAACTGRAAATTCTATTATCTATAATAAATATTCAATTAAAATGATTTTAAACGAATATCATCAGCCATTATATTATATRGTGATATCTACAAAACGTATATTTTATTGAATATAAATAAACACTATATTTTTAAAAAACATATCTTTCAATTTCTTTAATGAAAACATTATGATATACTTTAGACAAATTAGAAATGGCTTCTCCTTTTGCTCAAAAATAAACATAAAATAAACATAATATTGCGATTAAAAATGAAATAAAATTTAAATTATTGTCATTTATCCAACTCATTGATTTACATATAATGGTTTTATTTAATGCTATTACATATAGATTTTATTTATGCTATGTTACTTATGTACTACGTATACGGTTATTTCTCATTCATCTATGAAATCATATTTTTCAATTGTTATTAAAATTGTTTATAACATGAATTGATTACTTGGTATTTATTTAATATTTATACCATACCTCCTTATAGACAACCATATTTAAACTATACAATTATATACTTTCAGAATTTATGCAAAAAAGTGCTATTGTTGTTCCATGTCATATTATTTATGTTTATATAAATTGCGAATTGTATGAAAGTTTTACACACATGAAACAATCTCATATTTATTGACAAAAACGTTTATAGAACCATGCAAATATGCGTGTTGTAGATGGATACAATATGAATGTTTATAATATTCAAATTTTTATCAGCAATATACAATATTTAATAACTATTTAATCTCTAATCACAAAATGTATATTATATGAAAATTATTTTAATATTAATGTACGAACGAATTTGATAGTGACATCATCATGGTTATTGTTATTATTATTGTACGTTGTATTATATTTTTACGATCCAAATAAGTTTATAGTGTATATAAGTTAAATCGATATTTTATATGGTTGTATTAACTTGGTTACTACCTACGATACATTWTCCTAAAGTTTTGGTGCTCGTCCGTATCCGTGTCATAATGGTGAACCGCAACTAGTGGCATATTTGTCACAGTTTTCGGAGTTTGTAGGATAGGGAGTGGGGTGATAAGTTATTTTTCTTCGTTTAGCCCATTATAGCCGCTATTCACGAAATATATACAAAATACTTGCATGCAATATTATATAATATGCGAATTTTATCAATTTGTTTTTCTCCGATTAAACTATGCCTATAAAAACATGTACAAGTGTTGTAGGTATAGCAGACATAATATATTATATTATTTTTGTGCACTCAATTAAATACAATCATATACATACGAAATAAAAAAAAATGTATTATAATTAAAATCATAAACTATTCACAAATTTTTATTTTTATTTTATTTTTTGTTCAGGAGTCAGGAATTCTAGTGAAATCAGTGAAACCCGTATAATATGAAATAATTAATATTATATTATTTTATTAACATAATAATTAGGAACATGTATACTTAGTACGTAAATGGAAGTAAAATAGCTCATTAATARTCCAATAATAAGTAAAAACACTTTTAAACACATTTGACATTTGATTACTTTCAGAAAACAGTTGGGTAGAAGATACATTAGTCTTCGTGACTTCAAACGGTCTAAAACTCGAAGAAACAAGATAAATGACTAAAATCTGAGTACTGATAATACTAATAAATAACAATAAACGAGTGTTTTGAATTCCTGAATGCATTTGGGTGTATATAGCTTAGTATATAATTGCTAATTTAAGTCATTGTAATTTTCGTCTACAGTTGTTTTAGACATTTATTCAACTGAGGTAATATATTTAAATGAACAAATCGTTAAAAATCAGGAATTACGCTCTGAATAAAATCGTATAAATTATTTTCAAAGTGCAATTTTAAAACATTTTCATAATTTTTGAACCCTGATCACTGATATCACATAAATAMAATCATTTCAAACATGGTTATCCTAATAAGCATTATATACATAAAAATAAAAAATTCAGACAAATTCACAAATGAATTGTATGTACGAATATTAAAAGATTTTTTTTTATTTTAAAAAGGACCTTAATTTKCTATAARATTATATTAATTATAATATCATTAAAAATGGCTATTCAAGTACTATGGTTTATCTATTGAAGGYRGACATAATATTATATGTATACCTATTTTCACTAAGCATGATATAAGGCATTATTGTAAAAAAAATATTGCCAATTTATCATTAAACAAAACATTCAATAGAATATTTGCATTATAAAATTGACTACACTTGTTATGTACTTATTATAAACTAACTGGGGTTACCATATTTTTCAACTGAATCGCATATATTTTTAATTATTAAATAATTATTATATTAAGTAATAATATGGTTGATACTTTTTCCTTTTTCATAACCTTACGATTTCAGACTTGTTAGGTGTCAAACAAGTTCACAAAWAAATAAATAAATAAATAAATTCAAAAAACCTATATAGTGCTAAAGTTATTTATATTAGTCCAGAACAATACATCCTACTCGTTTATAAAATATTTTAAGCATGTAGAAACATTTATTAAGAACATATGAGAAAATGTATTTGTGACATTATAGTTGAATCAATCGTTCAAACATAATAGAACCTACGTATAAGAAATTTAACATAGGTACTATATAATAGGTACTAAGGCAATAAACAATATTAATGAAATTATTAATACACCAATAATGACGAATTAGTATTAATCAACAAAACTATTAAATACTTAAATATCCACCAATAACAACAATTAATTATATTATATTATTTCAAACCTATATAGGTAAAAATACCATTAAGTAATAACTAATGACAAAATAACTCTATAAAAAGTTATCAGGTAAGTAGGTAGGTATAATTTTTTTATCTACATTTCTAAATTATAATTACATAAAATGTATTGTTTACATTACATTTATTGTATTCGAATATCATAAACCAATAATTTTAATACAATTGTCCCTTTAAATTATGATATGTATAAATACATTTTCATTTTAAACTGTGGTGTAGGTACTAAATAATTTAAAAATCAAGAYGGAAAAAATAAATAAATTTAAGACTCATAACTTCTCTAATTAATGCATTTGATGTTTTACTTTCATTTAAGTTCTAAATGTAGTTTGATTAGCTACCGGCTTATTTTTATTTAAGTTAATTTAAATAGTTATTATAGTAAATAAATTCATTTGTTTCACTAAGAAGTGAATAATTAAGAGGTAAAAAGCAAGTTAAGTATCAACAAAATRAAATGCCAATTTTTAAAATGTAGATTTAAGCTGTTTTATATTAATTTTCTTAAATAATAATAAATTAATTTGAATTTAAAATATAAATTACTCTTAAGTAAACTAATTTGATGCAACGTATTTATATGTTATTTAAACAAAATATATTTTTATTTTATTTTCATTATAATGTATATTGGAATGCATTTTGTTCTGGAAGAAAAATGTTGAAGTTAATACAGCTTATAAATAACTAGGTATCTATTATAATTTTGTTCAAAAGGACAAAAGTTTTAATAGTCTAATGTACAAATATTTAATCGACATATTCTCATGCTTAAATTAAATGTATTTCAATTGAATTCCATTATCATATTGTGTGGTACATCRGATGCACTGTCACAATACTTGTTGAGCATGAATATCATAATACTATTGTCACTATGTGTAGGAGTACCGGAATACAACTTTACCTAATTTTCCGAAAAAAAGCGTATCAAGTCAAAAACCCTAGTTTTCGTCGCCACACGGAATTTCTAGAATAACAGATCAACCAAAAACAGAGTCCTAATACTTGTCGTGAACACTTTTCACACACACAAATATATTATAGTATTAAATAGTTATGATTATAATATTATATTACATTATTCTCACTTCGACAACGATGGTAGATAATATGGTAACTGTAACTGTAGCAGCAAAGTTGCGTCCACGGTCGCGTTCGGTTATGAACAGGACTCGAGGTAGTAGCCGACCATGGCGCGCGTGGTCCCACAGGTCGGCCGAAGCGCGGGCGACGGCCCGAAGAGATTTCGTGAAAAAAAAGTCAAATCTATGTTTTTGTTAGTTTCTTGCACTCTAAAAAAAAAAAATCGGACGATTAAACTACGAGACGGACATCGTGTCACGGGAAAATAACACCACCAGCAGTGGTGGTGTATTATATTCTATGATCAGCYTTCGAACGCGCGTCGGTTGAAAAAGGATTGTTAGTTTGGTTTTTTTGTTTTTTTCCAAAATGTTTTTACGATGTTTTAAAATGTTCGCTCGTACGAGACGTGTGTCGACAAAGAGCGATCCCGGTCGTTACGTCTGGCGGGTGCGTTATCACGAGACGGCGTGCGGTACGTAACTGTACGTAGCGTGTGAGCGGGTTGCCGACTCGCGGCCAAACGATACCGCGGAGGGTTGTTTAACCGAGTGGTGGCGCTCAAGTCACACGACCCCTCTATCATTGTCCGTTTGGATAAACGGACTGGGAAAAAACCCATGTTTCTTATATAATAATATATTGTATTTATGTAATGTGTATATATAAATTCCAACGTATGTCCCGTGTCAATCGGAATCGTTGAAAAAAAGTATACCACCCTCACCAAGACGATTATACATATATACTTATTATATATATATTTATATGCTCTACTAAGCCTATCGTTTTTTTTTTTTTTTATGGATCACCTGTCAACAGTCTGTTATTTTTATAACGAATCGACAAATGTGAACATCGTGTTTTTTCCGCCTGAATGTGTATAATTTAATGTCGAATAATATTATAGGAAATAGTAATACTCGACATACGGATTCGATAACATCGAGACCAATAACCAGATAGACTAATAGAAATAATCATTTGGAGATCCGATAGGTAATGGGTCAATCCAGAGTCAGATTAATGAAATTAGTGGTCCTGGGTTAATTTATTTTTGAGGCACTAATATTTACAAAAAAAGTATTTTTTTAATAATATGCCAATTGATATTTATTAGTTAAATAAGAAAAATATTTGTTCTCAGACAGCAAATTTACATGACATAGTTAATTTATTTAAAAATACAATTTAACTAAATATTAAAATATAAAATATATGGTAATAACACAAAAATACAAACAAATGGTTACTTAAAATATTTATTTCTAGATTTACTTGCAAACGTATTTAGATAAMGTCTTCAAATAAAAGTTTTTTTCATATGTCATTTTCAACTAATATAATTGTTAATGTTGTTAATGAGTTCAACCTATCTTCAGTCAGAGTAGATCTTACTATCTTAGTCGATTTTTAATAAAAGCCAACTTTGAGAATGAACGTTCTGCTTCACGATTTGTCAACAGTAATTGTTGATATATATATATATATATATATATATAGTAATAACAATAATTGTTAGGCATAATCTCAGTGCAATATACATTTAGAAAACCTAAGTTGTCGCTCATATAGAAGAGTTGTTATAACATCAAAATTGTCAATATCTGAAGAAACTTTTTTGATATAATGATAAAAATGTGATATTTCTGTTTTCAAGTCATCATCAAGATCATTATGGTAAAACTGAATACAGTTATTTAATAAATCAATGTCTGGGTCATTGTCAGTTTTAAAGTTAATTAAAAATTTGAATTGAGAAAGAAAAATATTATAAGAACTTAATTTTCTGTCAAGTTTTTTTTTGAGTGCCCTGGGCTATAGCCCGCTTAGCCCCCCCCCTTAATCCGGCTCTGGGTCACTAAATTTATATTTTAATTAGATACATTCAATAATATTATGTTATGATACTATACACTATTATTTCAAAAGAATGTATGTCGAATATTATTATATTATTATACAGAGTAGGTATTTCAATTAAATATCTACTCAACAGCAGTCTGGGTTTATGATGCAATTGTTATTACAACCACGGCCCACCACGTATTTATTTGAAGCCCAGGCATGTATATACATTATAATTATACGTCATACTTTAGAGTAATATTATCTACCTAACTTGTATATAAAGTACTTAATTATTGTTGTATTTGGGATAATAACGGCATCTGTTGTACAGATACGTATAATAAATGTCTGTGGAAAAAAATCAACAAATTAAATATTAATATATATGCATACAAAAATAAACTCTACACATAATTATTTAAATTGTATTAATATTAGATGAACC